TATCAGTATCCAGCCTGATTGAGGTTGAAGTAGATGTTGAAAAATAAATAAATTCTATTTGTACCGAGGGGGTTTTTTGTGTCGGATAAAATAAATGTATATAGAAATCAAAGTAAAATTCGAGCCAAATAGACAATTTCTATGACCAAAAGATAAAAGTTTACAGTACTTTCGAGCTAAATAGGGAAGTTTTAGACCACTTGTCCTAATGTCCTAGTTGTCCTAGTAAAATCTCAGATCTTCTTACTTTTTTTTTATCTATAGATATACATAGTATATATTATATGTATATAGCATGTATACATCATATATATAGTATAAATGTATCATGAGTGGATAAATTTTATTTTTCCTAGAATATTACTTTTTACTAGGACAATTAGGACGGATTTATGAAAATAATAGAATAACAAGGTAAATGACAAAAATAACAAGGTAAATGACGAAAATAAGGCTTTTTCCCGTCCTAAGTAACATTTTTATATTAGGACGTGTCCTAGTATAATTAGGACGGATTTATTTGATATTAAAGATACGCGCTACATACAGAAGTAACTTACAGCAATTTTTTGAGGTTCACCTATACATTCCAAACACATGTACAATGTCAAGCTCTGATGAAGAATATTATACAGCTGACGAAGATATAATAGATATTAAATTGCATGAGTCAAAGACTCGGGGATTTACTTCCTCAATTTTAGTTTATCCCGACCATATCCAGTTCCTTATTAATTTTATTTTATTATGGCCCGAAAATAGAATCGATAGTCTCAATTCAGAGAATTTATATCAAAAGTATTCTGCCTGGTGTAAAGTTAATAGTAAAACACCATGTAGTAACGCCGTTCTTGGTAAAAAATTTTCGCAAATTGGCATTAGGCGTCAACGAGCAGGTGGTGGAAAGAGAAAATGGCAATATATTCTTGATCGGTCTAAAATTATGAACAAGATACATCAACTATTTGGTTCTCCATGAATTTATTTGAATGCGTAATTACAGAAAAATCTCCTGCAATAACGATGCAACCACGAACTCGTCGTCACTTGACAAATAAACGATTTCTTTTTTTTTTTGATTTTTTTTGGCTCTAGCTAACTCAGCGGGTGCCGCCAAATAATGGCGGTGTAAACACAATTCTGCTTCTTTCTGGGAAAGAAGGCGCACTCTGTATGTCGTTACTTGTTTTAATATTTGCTTCGCAAATTGACTTACATCGACCCACCACACTCTAGAAATCAAATAATATGACGATACAAACACAAATATTATCGCACAGAGTGCGCATGTAAGTGTTATTATCCTCGGCTGGTAATGCCTCAGCTGAATGACAATACAACCACTCATCGTTATTATCCCTTGACATGTAATGTCAGGCCAATCATATTGCTCGTCTGTTAAACACAATCTTATCGTCACTCGAACAATGATGCAAATACAAACTTGATGTCACATAACCAAATAACAATTTTTTTCAGCCATCGCAGACAACTCCGCAAGCTAATTGTGATGTGAATCACCTGCAATGACGACGCAAACGCAAACTCATCGTCACTTCGTAGGGCTAACTTTTCAACCAACACCTCAGCTGACATCCTCGCGATGCAAACGCGATTATATCGTCCTCGAATGACGATGCAAATGCAAACACATCGTCACTTCGTAGCAGCTGACTTTTCCCTCAGCTGACTTCCTCGATGGTTACACAGGCAAATAACGATACAAACGTGATCATGTTGTCACCCGAATGATGATGCAAGTGCAAACTCATACACCTGTTTCAACCAATTCAGTCGATCGATTTAGGGGTGTGTTGGAATTTTTAAAGCCGATCGAGGTTCGGTGATTCATATTAATTTCGCCTGGTGCACCAGTGGTGCACCATATATAGTACATGTGAGCTATTAGGGTTAGGGTAAATTTGCAGATCTCAATGGTGCACCAGGCGAAATTAATATAATCATCGATCGATTTGGGGGTGGATAAAATTTTTTAAATGCCGATCGAGAGTCGAGTTTTGGGGGTTGAAACAGGTGACTCATAAGTGAGAATAACATGTGGTCACATGACAGAGTGGTCATAGTCTAACCAAGTGTCATAACCTAGACTAAGTGGTCATAATATAATTATATTATGACCACTAGCTTCATGGATTGCCAAGCAAATGTGATAGATATTTCAATAATAATACAGAAGGGCTACCATCTAGACTGGATGTTCATGGTATGAAATTCTTAAAAAGTTCATGGCTAATATCAGAGCCTTTACTAACTTGAATCTATATCTACAGACATAATTTAGGAAAAGATTTATATTGGGATTGTGAGTTTTCAGTCTGTGAGTGTGCTGGTTCCAAAATCAAGAACAAGCAAAAGATTATTTCAATTAGTTTAAAAACACAAAAGATTCTGAGAGACATGCATTGATCTCTGATTGAAGTGATATCTGCTGAAGGTGGAGGAATAGTCTCAAAGCCAGTTCTGCAGGCTAGTGCAAAGCTTCTCATGTCTAGCTTTTTATTGTCCTAAATTTTGATGTGTGTTATTCTAATTATTATTATTATTTATATAGGAGGAGGTATTCACAATCCCTTCCATCATGCATTCTTAATCACTGAGGAACTCATCTCAAAATAGACCCCCCATTATTTTCTCAATTCCTCTTGTTCAGTTGAAACTCTCTCCCTTTTTACCATCCCCTCTTCTCCCTCTCTCCCCCATCTTCAATACATTCTCCTCTCTCCTCCTTCTCCACCAATATTACCCTACTCTCCCTCCCCTCACATTGGACCACTTACATGGAATGAAATTCACCACTCTCACTGACCTTGTAAAATTCATGACCTCTTATGGAAGATCTCCCATCATAATCGGTCACTCCCTATTGGCATCAAAAATAGCTCATATTTCCATTCACTCTGGCTTTTGTCCCTGGTGTCCCTCCATTCCTAACTCTCTTTCTCACATGTTTCACACCTGTCCTTTTGCATCAAATCTTTGGAACCTTTCCACACTCATCTCCTTATTAATTTCACACCTTTCTTCTCCATCTTCCATTATTATTATTCACTCACATCTTCCTTCAAAAATTAAGCATATTGCTTGTCTAACTCAATCAGCTGTCCTTTGGACCATATGGACCTCCTACACTTCAACATCATTTGGTTCCTCTAATCCCTCCTCTATAATTAAAGCTTTCTCTTCCTTTATCTCCACCCTCCTCTCATACAAAATTATTACTCCATACTTGGCCTTCAACTGTCTCTATCACTAGAATTCTTCTCTCTTCTCACATTACTCCACATACTTTATTCCAGGCTATTCAGCCAAGCTCTTTATTGCATATAGCTTTAGCAGTTTATCTGTAGTTAGACAATAAAGTTCTAAATTTAAAAAAAGAAATGTCCCATGACTAGTATTACTCATCAATCAATTTAGCAGATTTCATGCATAATGCTTCAAGTCAAGGTCAGTGGCATCTCAGGTCACTTAAAATATGACTTTAAATTGACATGCATTGTTGTTGTTTTTTTACTATCTTTGCAATCTCACCCTGAATGGTGGTGATCTCAGGTAGTCACTACATCTGTGAAAGCTTCTGGGAACACACAAGATTGTATAATAATGTTATGTTCGGTCACCTGGGAGGGCGCTTGCATTCAAATTTGACCGGGAGGTATTCTCGACAATGCATTTCTAAATATGCTTGCGAAAAGATTTTTGGATGGAAAACATTAAAAATGGATGTGTAAGTGTATTTAAAAGTGGAGAGTTTAACTGTACCCAGAAATACAACCATTTGCGTCTTCTTCAGAAGAGAGGACATAAAGAGAGTATTGGAAGGAAATTGGATTTCGAAAAGACATCAACAAAAACATCAGTGTGATAATATGTATTATGATCTAAATAGTGCATTGATAATTATTTTTCTTTTCTGGTAATAATCGTCCCAACCTCGCAGACTGCAACACTTGCACTTGCTTCTCCTAACTAATGACTATCTCCTAACTCGCCTTCCATCAGCTTTTTCTTTGCTCTCTCCAGCCCAAATGCCATTTATCTGTTACAAAGCGTTAACAATTATCATGCTATAAATAATCTTGGAACGGTCTTAAAAATGCGCGTGACATTTGATAAAAATTCTCCGATTGGACCCAATATTTTTTTACTCTCGAAATTTTCTCTTCCTTACGACGTTTACCAACAATATAATCAAAATGACAGCATTCGACGTAAATAACCTCCCCGCTTCGGAGGATGAAATAGATTATTCAGACATTGAAGCCAAGTACCAAGTGCCATTTGAAGAAGGGTTCGATAATATCATAGTAGTTGATAAAGTTCCAATAGTTGAGGAAAGTAAAAAAGACAAACTCTTTAGAACAATGCGAAAAATATTCCGCACAGCTGGAGTTGGAGAGATCAAAGAAGGAGGAATAAGTATGCCAATGGATCTAAATGCCGAGACAGGGAAACTAGCGTCTAAGGGGTAAATAAACATTAATGCTAATATTGGACTTTTTATCGTCGCGTTACTTAGTCAGAATCGATACAATCAAAAGGCCGTTAACAGGGTGATCCTCATATTCAACCGACAATGCTTTTTTTTTTTAGTTTTCTGTTTATTGAGATGGAAACTGCGGAGCAAGCAAACCTTGCGGTAAAACAATTAAATAATCATCCAATGGATCGATCCCATATCCTGGCTATCAATCGTTTTACAGATATCGAAAAGTATTCGCAATTGAAAGAGGAATATGTAGACCCAGAGGAAGAGAAGTTTACCGAGCGGGTCCGTTTAGCAAAGACTTATTAAGCTGTAACGTAGTTCGTAGGATTGTCGATTCTAACCTACCGATAATTATTAGGAACATTTGCGAAGCTGGCTTACCGATTCGCAAGCAAGAGATCAATTTGTCTTACACCGTGGAGACGAAGTGAGCATTTATTGGAATCGCAAAACTGAGCCACCGGAAGAAATCCATAAACGACAAGTAAGTTGTAATATTTGTTTATTGGCGGTTAGGACAAGATATTCCTCTCGATGATGCTAATTATCTACTAGTATTGGACAGAAACATACGTTCAGTGGTCTCCATTAGGCACGTATCTAGCTACATTCCATCGGCAAGGTATAGCACTCTGGGGCGGACCAAGTTGGAATAAAATAATCCGGTTTGTCCATCCGGGCGTCAAACTAATTGACTTTTCACCCAACGAACGATATCTCGTCACTTGGAGTTACGAACCAATCACCCTCAATAATGGCATACCAGGCTCGCCTTTTGGAATGGAGGACGAAGGAAATCAGTTGATTATCTGGGACGTCCATTTTGGTGCTCTACTTCGTTCCTTCCCTTCTTCAACGTCCCCCGACGACACTTCAAATAAGATTACGTGGCCTATGTTTAAATGGTCGCACAACGATAAGTATTTCGGACGCGTGACTGTCGGTCAACAGATATCCATATATGAGACTCCTGGGATGGGTCTGGTTGGCAAGAAGAGCATTAAGGTTGAAGGAGTGGCTGATTTCGAATGGGCTCCTGTTTCAGAAAGAGATAAGGAAAAGGATAAGAGTAAAGACAAACACGGGGATAAGAAGACTAGAGAAGAGATAATCAGTTTTTGGACACCTGAAATAGGCAATCAGCCAGCTCGTGTTACTCTAATGAGTATTCCATCAAAGGAGATTATAAGGACTAAGAATTTGTTCAGTGTTGCCAATGTCTGTGAATCAGTGTTTTCTTTTCCTAGTATGAGTGTGACCAAAACTCTAATATTATTACATTCATTCCCGATGTACGGTTGTAGTGTAAGCTGCATTGGCAGTCAAATGGGGATTTCTTATGTGTAAAAGTAGACCGTCACACAAAGACTAAGAAGTCGACATTTGCTAATCTCGAAATTTTCCGAGTCCGTGAAAAGGATATTCCAGTAGAAGTAATAGAAGTCAAAGGTACGTAAACAATAGCGTAAACTTCTGCAATTAAGAGTCGATGGGATTAATGATGGTGCAATCAGGATATGCAACGTTTATCCAAGAGTTCTTAGCAAGGCTAATTTATTCTTCTTGTTACTAAAATTCATAACTGTTTGACATAACTATTCAGACACTGTCATGGCATTTGCATGGGAACCGAAGGGAGAGAGGTTTGTTATAATAACCACAAATGATCCGGCATACGGTCAACCGAGTACTACACCAAAGACATCCGTAGTTTTCTATTATCTCGACAAGGCGAAACCCGTGAATGGCACGCAGACAGTAGCAAATTTTAAACTAATCAGTAAGGATCAATTCAAATTACGCATGTTCTTATGGGTACTGTAATATAATAATGTGGTATCTCAATTGGACTCTTCACTATCCTATCAGAAACGCTCGATAAGAAAACCTCGAATTCTATTTTCTGGTCTCCTCGTGGTAGACACGTGATATTAACTACGTTAAGATCACAGTCAACCTTTGACTTGGAATTTTGGGATTTAGATTTTGAGGGAACGGCAGAACAGAAAGAGGCTGCTAGACAGGATCCTGGTGCATCCTTGCAGTTGATGAGTGTGCAAGAACATTATAATGTTACCGATATCGAATGGGATCCAACTGGCAGATATGTTATTACCAGTTCTAGTATGTGGAGGCATTCGGTAATGTGTCTTACAAAATAAGATAATCTCTTAATTGATATTTATTTGATATTCGCTGTTTCTTGTTTTACCAATATTAAATGAAGTATCCTTAATTATAATTCGCAGGCCGAGAATGGCTATACAATCTGGGACTTCAAAGGAACCCAATTGCGGCGGTATCTTCTTGATAAATTCAAACAAATCCTTTGGCGACCCCGCCCTCGATCCCTTCTTACTAACGAGCAAAAGAAGAAAGTTCGTAGGAGCCTTCGTGAATACTCCAAAGTATTTGAAGAGGAAGATGCTCTCGCCCAGACATCTGTTTCCAAAGAGCAAATAGCTCACCGACGTCGCCTTATGGATGAATGGAATGCATGGCGCAAACGCGTTGAAAATGAATTGGCTGAAGAGAGAGAACTTGCCGGGTTGCCTCCAATTGATACGAGAGAGGATGAGGGCGTGGAAGTAATTGAAGAGTGGGTTGAGGAGGTTGTCGAGGAAACCGAGGAGATTGTAGATGAGTAATGATCGGTCATTGAAGTGTTCTAGTATTATAATATAAGTTATTGGTCGCAATAAATTCAACAGTTGGTTTTTGACTAATAGTTGGTAAATTTTCTGAGACCACGATGGAGAGAGTGAGACAATTATCTTAGTTAATTAGTTCTTCGTACCATTCATAATTTATATCACAAGCTTACATCAACAGGATCAGTCGCCGTTTTGGCATCGATCTATCTGTGTTTCACTTTGTTGATCATTGGAACAGTTCCAGTGCAGCGAATAAGCATTTTATATTCTGGCATGCTTGTAATCTGAGTGTCAATCTAGTTGAGCATCTTCCGGTCGACATGAATCTGTAAAGCAATGAATCATCTACGTGATGTATACGGTTTCAAACTTTACCATGGATTTCGAATAAAGGGCTCCTAGCGTAAAACGCCAGGATTTCTAACTGTAGAAAGAGTGAACAAATTGTGTTGAAAGAATTCTGGAAGAATGTGTAAACGCAATCAAGAGCTAACAATGCAATAGTATAACAGAGTAACTCGCATATTTAATGTCGATTGATCCCAAAATTGGCGAGTAAATGGTGACACACAGATCTTCACTATGCTTTTATATTTAAATCTGTTGATCCATTCTTACAAACCCGATGTCACTTACGTCGTTACTCCAGTCTTTAGTAACCGGGTCAAGTAACAAAGGACGCTCGGTTGAATTGCATAAAACGCAAAACAATCCGTCATTTATAACAATTTTGTTTGCTTCAAGTGCTGCCGTGGTAACATACCTTGTCTTTGGGTCGAACGAATACAGATGGGACTTTAATTTTGTTCAGTAGAGTGAGCGGCCGCGAATGCAAGGTAAGAACTAAAATATTAGAGATAGGGGCAATCTATAACGACTTGAATCATGCCGTTTTAAATTGTTTTAACTATTTCACACTAGAATGGGCGCATTCGGAATGAAGTGACATTTTGCAGAAGTGACAATGCTTTCTGGGGAGTTTTTTGATGAAACATGCGTGTAAGTCATCATTGACGATTCATGCGCGTATGGTTTTCCAGTGTCTAACTGAGGCAAATGTTTTTTTCAAAGATTCGTTCATACTTTTTTATTATATATTATCAATTATTGTCAAATAAAAGGCCCCAAGTATGTGTAAGTTGACATTGAAGGTTCTTCAAATCTTTCTTCATTGACTACTTCGTAATAAACAATAAGCATGTCTCGCTGGGATATTCTAATGATTGCAACAAGTCGTCCGCTTACTTAATACAAATGTAACTTGATCAATTCATCACTGACTCCTGATGGTGTTAGAACGCCCAAGTCTGTACAAAGTAGAGTGATATATTCTGGTGGAGTGTAATCTACCGTTGGATTGTTCGACTAAGGTAATAAAACCATGAGCCGTTCAAGTTGATTATGAATTTGATCCATAAATACAAACGAAGACTTTGTGATTACTCACCTCATAATCTTCAACCTCATCCGTTTCATCCTTGCTGTCGACTTGCTTGTGATTGTGCTCGTATTTATCGCTTATTCTCATGTGACCGCTTATGTGGCTGAATCGATTATCCAAGTCTGGGAATGATAGCAAGTCTGGTGTGTGTGTTGGAAGATCGTATTGATTCAGGGGAAATAGACGAAGGAATTTGTAGCTAATGAACGACAAAAAAGTATAATTACTTATCGCTAATAGTGCTACACGAAAGCAGCTCGTGTTTAGATGCTGCGCTTACCTCTCAAGTACTGCATAGAAGGGTTTATTGGCAGCTTTGGCAACTATGGCTAATTGATAAGTACCGATCTTGTAGTATATTCGCACAAGTAAAAAAAAAACCAACTTTTAGTTCATTACCAGTGTTCCACTTAACATGCGAAAACTCGATCCACTCACCGCATTGATCAAGCCACCATTCTCGACAACGCCCTCTGCTCCAACGAAAACCGCATCTACTTTGCCAATGACATATCCAACAGCCGTATCTAGTATAACGGTGGCTGGGATGCCTGACTTGCGCAATGTTTTGACTGAACGCAGACTAATTCGTTGAGAAAAATTTATCAGAAATTGATAAAATGGATAATGCACGCATTTATTACAAAAACTTACCCTAGTGAACTGGGTCTTGATTCGGTGACATACACTTTAAATCTCTTCTTACACGCTGCTGCACGCTGCAGCAGTTGCATAACAACACGTGAGTATGAATGAATAAGTATTACCTAAACGAAATTATATTGATAAGACTTCGCTGCGTACTTTTCACGTATACATGCGTATAGCTAGATTAACGTAAATATGTCATAATAACATCTCACTTACGGCATCGTCTTTTATGAACTGAACACCCAATTCGGCCACCTTGTGTCTAACTGCAATTGCCTTTTCCACGAGGACTTTGCCACTTTCCATTAGATGCTCTTTGCAAGCATCAAGATTCTACAGCAAACCATATTACATATTAGTAGTCTGTTACTAGATTTGCGCAACTCATCACTACTCTAATCCAATCTCAATCCCTACTGCGCGTTATATACATCACTAACCGTAACATCATGAGATGTCCGGGTGACAAATCTCAGAAATAAGTCTGTCCCCGCGGAGAGGGAGATCGAATTTCGTGTAGAGCTCTTCAATGATTCACTTCCCTCCTCAAGAGATTTCATAAATTCGGAAAGTGTCGTTGCTTTACTGTGCTTAATAAATTCGATTAAAGATTCTATTGCTGCTATTGGCATTGGAATGTCCTGATTTAACGGCGTGAAAAGCAGTGTTACATTGCGATCCAAATGTAGGGGGGGAAATGAATAAATTTGACAAGAAATTTACTGGATTGGCCTCCAAAAAACCCTTATAGCAGTTTACAATATCGAATTGCTGCGAGTCATCATCTACATCTACAATGCTAGATATCGATTGTGGAGTAAGTGCTGGCAATCAAGAGTGATCAGGAAAGATCTTTTATTAATTCAAGTAATCAAATTTAGCTTCTTAAAGATTGTAATTTCTGGCGAATCCATAATAAACATTCTCTTCTCGGACAACGGCAGTAAATTACCTTTCGCTCATGGTCGCAAGAATGTTAGAAATTGGCGTGTCACAAGATGACTCAATCTCTTATACACGTGTTATTTGACATCGACCAATCAACATACAAATTTTTTCTGGCCAATCAGGATTATACTTAATGCTACTAGCGAAAGACTTAATATTAATATTAATACTAAACCGTAAGCGCTTGCTGTCTTGTTACATTTGTTACATAATCCGCTTCCTTGCTTTAATTCCGTTATTGAAATGGCAAATTAATGAAGTCTTGTAGACATAAAGCACTAGCATTATGCATAGTTTGACAGCTGGTTGAGACTACTTGGAGGATCCAGAAGGCCTTTGCAAAGCAATTTTGGAAAAAATTGCTTAATGAAGACCCTCATAAAGAGATACGCGAGCAGGTGAGCTTTATTCTAATTAGATCCTACCTTCTGGTTTTTAAAGATAAAAGAGTCGAATTATTGCTAAGTCTAGATATAGCATCACGTATTACCTAAATTTAAGAAAGAAGAAGATGAATAATAATAATAATAACTGAAATAATAACAGGATTAAAACGTAAAATCTGTTTATATTTAGGGCACTTGAGTCCCTAAATTAAAATGCACGTTTTGCATACACTTTCGGTGTGCATTCACGAGATTCACTCCTAAATAAGTCTAAGTTTCATTTGGTATTCATAACCTTATTTGCTATATGTAGTAGTTTTTTTGTGATCAAAAAATCGGGCTTCCCAAAAGAGTAACTAAATAGGACATTGATGCTATCGCAAGGAACTTTTATTCACAACGAGGTGCTCGCTATAAAGCCCAATTTAAGCTGTTGAATAGTGACGGGTAAAAATGTTCGGGTCGGAACGTCCTCTCTGGAGGCTGAATTGAACAGTAAACAAATCGCGTGCCATATTAATATTTGTAAGGAATACACTTTTATTGCAGTTGAAGCTATCTATAGTGAACCTGGCTATACGGAACTCTGGCAGTAGTGAACCAATTTCTTATCTATGTAAAGTTTGGGAGCGGAAGTTTCTATTATAGGTAGATTATCGGTATAACGGGTATCGGTACTTGACTGTAGCCCGAAACGTTCATGCGAAACAAGATATGTACCTATCCCAAATAAACGCCATTCCATATTGGCTCCTCACCATTCCTCAAAGCGCCTTTGCTTCCAGTCGTCGCCGTGACGTAACGTTCATGCTAGATGTGTTTGTAATGATTTGATTTACATACTAATACATTCATTCTGGAGGAAGTAGTTAATCGGTTGGATATTAATCAGCGTGCGAGCCGGCGGAGATTACGTTTTTTAATAGCCATGGTAGTGGAGCTGGTGTTTATACGCGAATTATAGAGTTTCTCTATCTCCGTCCTCACATTACTATTTAATATTGGGTAGGGTATTATTTCGATAAACTCCTTTGTTAGAATTCTTTCGCAGCCTTTGTTTAGTCTATATACCGATATTGCGACCTTGCTCATTGCTAGGCGAGAGACTTTTGATCCGCCTCTGTCTATGACCTTGCCTAAGGAATATGCTTCAGCTAAGTCTCTAAAGTTCCTCTTCGCCTTTTCAATTCCTTTCTCCCACGTTGTCTCGGACTCGGAGTAGGTATCTGAACTGGGGTAGATATCTCTGGCCCATCGCATCCTTCGTATTGGTATCACTCCGAATAAATTCCGTGACACAGAGTTATGCAGAGAAATACGTCATCCTCGTCGTTGCCTATAAATAAATATGAATTAAAACTAGACCCAACTATAATCCATGGGAATTTATAGTTGATAGTTTTAATATTTCTTCTGGGAAAATATTATTATTGAACCGAACAGGCATGGTGTTTCCTATAAGATTGATGGCAATAAGATGGTCATATTTCATTATGCACATGGAAGAAGAAATATTCAACATTTTCCCCAAGCAAGATGCGAAATTTACATGTAGTTAAAATCAGAGTCACATACTAATACATAGTTAGCCAGCGAACAAAAATTATTTATTGATATGCTACGTACATGTACACACCCATACCATATACACCAAAAATTGTACTAAATTGAAAATAGCATGCATACATAATATAAACTATTCTTAGACGTAATACATCGGAAAACGACTGGCAAACTCTGGTTTTGTCATGTGCAAACGTCCATTAAGATGTGATCGTGCTCTCTTTGCCGCACAATGTGCGTAGTAAGTCGGTGCAGGGATGGAAACTGCTCTAGTTGATCGTTGAAAGTTATAGCACAGCTTGTTCGTAAAGTCCTGGAGTTCATCCACCTTAAATTTATTCTCATCGAAGAGTACATGATAATGACATGGACGGGATGTTCCTTGGAGACTAGAGTGAGAGGTAAGATAAAAGTCAAAAAGATACGGATGGGTAATTTCCCGCTCGACTATAAGTCCAGGTTTCACATTTCCTTTTCGGTCGGCATCCTTTGCATCTGTGGGATAAAATCGAGTGTGGTGCCTTTTGCCAACAACAATATAGGTAATTGTTGGATTATAACCCTGCTCCACCTTAGTGCACGCTGCCTTAATATAAGGAAGTTCTTTATCCAATGCCAACGGTTTGAATTGACTCTCGCTAATGCCGTCTCTGAACATAACAATGACTTTAGGTAAAATTTTGTTGATGCGCCTGAATTCACGTAAGAGTTCGACTACCAAGTCGGTCATAGTATCGATTTCTTCTTTACCACGACCCGTCTTTTTGCCAGAAGTTGGTTCCTTGAATTGTTCTACGTGTCTCTCAGCATATCGAGCAGCATGCCTGTCAACAGATCCTACAACTGCTGCAATTGATGGCATGGTTGAGCCAGGCTGTGGATGAGTGACATCAGCACCAATAAGCATCATAGGGACTTTATCAATTCGAGGGAGATTGACGGATGAATTTGTTCCATTGAGTTTTAGGTTTAATTTCAGAGCGACGTTTGCAAGATATTGCTTGTTTATCCTTATAACATGTGGCGCTTGAACACACTGAGACAGGATTCCAACTTCCGTATCCATGACCCGCTTGACAAGATTATATTGGTCGTTGTTTGCTTGACGGTTACGGTTTTCATCTTCAACAATGAATATAACCAGTTGGGGCAAACCAGCGCTTGATTTCTTTGCGTCCTGAAGGATTCTAATGATCTCATCGCGAGTCTGCTTGTCGTTCCGCCATCGGATAGACGCGCTTCTTTGTTGAAGGTTTTGTGCAATTTTCATACCTTGAACTCTGGCTTGATTTGCTAAATCACGGAGAAAGTTTCTGGTTTGCTCCGAGAATCTATCTGGCAAAAAGGAAATGGCAAGCCAATTGCGTAATTCCTCGCCGGGCTTGATAAATTGAACATCACGAAGATTCCACGCACCATCGTCAGGTTTTGGTCTGACTGTTGCACCTTGCTTAGATGATGGCGAATACATGATCTCTGGCATTCTCTTGAAGTGGCCAGGTACAGAGGCCATCTGCATACTGGAAGATAAACCGGCTAGTCGGAGTAGTTTGTCTTGGTTGAGTGATAGTACGTTCTTGATACCATCCAAGATAATTGACTTGTTCTCGTTAGGGCGCTTGGCGGTGATCTTAATCATGTTAGCGCGTTGATCTCCGGTCAATTGTTTGCCTTGATATCGCTGACCCTACGGTTAAGAAGAGGGCATTAGAAATGTTCTTTGCTAATAACAACTTCGTTAGTTTGTTTGAAAGTATGTTACCTCAACGATTCCACAGCATTCAATCGGAATCAGGTCCTTTCTCGTGCCAACAGTTTCGATCATATGGTAAGATTTGAGTGTCACATTATAAGCGGCTTTGAAGTATTCCGCGACAGTTTCCTCCTTTCCAGACTTGTTGTTCATGAACTTGTATTTATCTGCAGTTACGCTAGCAATTTTGGCAATGGTATATTTCGTCTTACAATCCGGACGATGAAGAGGTCGGACTTTGACATGTTTCAAGACACTATTTATGTTGTCACGCATATGGTTTTCAAGTTTAGCTGGAACTCTATCGCTATTGAGGAATTTGCACAGCCACGTAGCCAGATCGTTTGGTTCATAAACAGTAGTGTAGGTGACATTTACATTCGCAAATAGTTTTCCTATTTTTTGAGAATAGAGAAATCAACACAAGTTCAGCTTAGATACAAAGATAATCTTATAGTTACTCGTTTAAATATGTCTGTAATTTCAATTTACCTTTTCCACCACCTTCTCCTGGTCGAACACTTGCGAAGAATCCCTGCCACAAGTCCACGCCACCTCCAAGCGGACTCCTGTTTTCGGGAACAAAGATTGATTCACCAAATTGCACGTATCGTAACGCGGGATTGTGATGCAAAAAAGCATTGAGCATTTTCAGTCCTAGGTTGTTGAAAAAGGTCCATTCGAAAGTGTCACCCGACAAGACAACCTTCAGTTCATCAAGCGAGACTGTTGGCTTATTGTTGTTCTCTCTGATATCAATGTAAAACTCGTTTGGCTTGCCGGCACGGTCGTGGTCATCTTCCAACTCGATGAGCTCACTGGCTTGATTATTTCCTCTGAGAGTTAGTTGTCCAGTTGTGAAGACGTTGGGACCACCGTCATACGCAACGCCAACGTTTCTGAAAAAGTCGTCCTGATGTCGCTTTTGGAACGTGGCGAATATGTGTCTTCGAAGACGTTTGTTATTATTAGATTCACCGGTAAGAGGTTCTGTGCGGGCGGCTTCGCCTTCGCGCATCGAATATCGCTTAAATTCGACGGTATACTGATGATATGTGGTCATGTTCGGGTCCGTTTTTAACTCGAACATGTTTGTAAGCACCCTCGTCTTGCGCTCCTTCGAGCCCTGTTGCCCTTCATCACCAAAACCAGGGCGTCTGTATGATTGAGATTGTTCCTTGGGAACGTTTTGGTTAACTGACACTTTAGCAGCCATGAGATCCGATATAGTATATTATACGAGTTTGATCCGTTGACAAATTCCTGCAGCGGTTAATAATATTCTCGGGGAGTCCGTTGAAATATATTAGAATATGTATACTTGACGTAAGTATTCCGCGGGTTGTAATATGGATTCCCGCACTTGCACGCGCTCTAATTCCTTGTTGTCAGTTCTTATTTACGCGGCCGGTAGTAGTGGGAGGGGGAAGCAAGCCTCTATATACGGGGGGGTCCCCTAATTTTAATAGCCAATAATACGCGGCTGAAAATTTGTTATTTATTTTTCACTATCTGTCATAAAAGGTATGAGAATGAGGCAAGACAATCAGTAAACAATCGGTAAGACGTTCCGGACGCCAACGTTCGCACAAAAACATTCTTTGCAGAATGATCTGCAGTTGTCCCACCTGCCTCTTTCGAACAACACAGTAAGAGATATTTATATAATAACAGAATGTTATCAGTACAATGGCATAACGTACCATCAAAAGTACGATCCGCATCGCAGAATGTGGGACATAAATACTGTGCCAACTATTTCGCGAGTTCGTAATTGAAATATTCTGTTAATGAATGAAAATTTTTGGTCTAGATATGTAGGACGGTGTGTTACCGGGGTACACGGTACCGCAATCACCCAGAATACAGAAGACGTCAACCATAATTGGCGTTTATAAGAATTGGATCGGCAAAGATAACTTGGTTATATGAAGCAGTTCGAGCTGCATTCCTTGTTTCCACAAACGGAGATACGTCTCTTTCTTTCTTTGCCACGTTTTTGTAGTTGGTTTAGTGAGGCAGTTACTTTGCCGTTAATGGTTGACAGCTGCATGGCAAATATTATCTCCGGGACCCCAATATCAGTAGTGATCATCAATTCAAAAAATTTTTTTACTGTACATTTTTATATTGTCTCTATACTACAGGCTGCGTGGCGCAGCAACTTCGCAAAGAAAATTGACAGCTTGAAATGAAACATCGATACGACGGCAACTTCGCAAAAAAAATTGACAACTTGGAATGAAACACCGATGCGAATAGTTTGCTCTTTGAACACTAATTCCGTTTCATATTCAGAACTAAGCGTAATGATATTTTATGCATTGTTCGTACTACCAAAAACGGAAGTTCGGGATAATGAGGTTCGACTGTAGTGGGACAGAAGTGACATTTCACTACGCGAACCAAAAACGGCTGGCGTGGCTGGGAAATCAAACAGCGTGACTAAAACTGCGCGTTATTATAATAATCTGTGAGACGCGCAAAGCACACATGAAGAAGGTTCCATGTTGTACAAACCCCTGCGGCCAGAGCTGCCATTAACCAACGCGACTTGCAATTGTGTCATGCACAGCTCTATCAAAGGCATGGCTATTGTTCCGATGTTTTTTATGGGATAACTGAACGTTGGACGGATTTCCCTTATTGTATATCAGTATCTCATTTTTATCCCACTCAGATATATCCCTATCCCCAAAATTCTACGGTCCCGATTTCTCATGCCCTATAATAATCATCAGAAGGTGATTGTTAGAATTATCAGATTCTGATTATGATTTATATCCCCTCCTACGACACTTGTATTACACAAAATATCTATTTATATAATCTGTGCCAGGCTTGTGCTATCAATTGAATATCATGCACTTTTAATAAATTCAGGCCACATAAATCAGGCCACATAAATCAGGCCGTAAAATAAACATATAAGATATATGCATAGTATAATTTGATGCTTAGACAATTCAGTAGTAGTAGAGAAGTCAAAATGCCATACTTTATTAACAGAATTTATTAACCAATAAATTGCACACACAGTTGTATCCCAAAGGGATTGAAATCATATGATGGATTTACTATTTAGCATAACTGATAATCCACCATTAGCAACACAGAATTGAGATCTAAGTATTGAAAGTCTTTTCCATTGTCATAACACTGAGCTTTGTTTAATCCCGCTGTACTCGATTTTTTCTCAAAACCTCAACAATATAATCTACGCAATCTATCACAAGTAATTTTTAAACATTTTTCACCTTTATTCAATCTCTTAATTCCATCGAATACCAGGCTCAGTGTGCCATTAGGACCTTTTCCTATCATTTTGTTCTCATCGAGAACGTAATTAATTTGTTCATGTACTGCTTCATCTTGAATACCAAATAAATGCACTAAGATAATAAATTTTACTTACCTGTTGATCGGAATGGGGCACGTGAACATATCATGTAGTTCATACCTTTAACATTAGGTATTACATCATTCTCGCCTGAAGCTGACTTGAAACTTACCCTGAGTGAGCCCATATCTATTTTTCTGAACTTAGATGCCAAAGGGGGGAGGTCATTAGAAGAGGTAGGCTCGGCTTTTTTATTTCTTTGTCGCGAAGTTAGGAAAAGAGTCTTGGTCGGAGAGCGGGGCGAGAAAACCTCACAACGAGACTGAGCAAAGAAGACATTTTATGAACAAAAAACTGATAATGCCTTTATTGAAACGAGAAAAATATGCCTGCGTTGTAAAAAAAGATGGCGATAAGAAAAAAAAAGCGTGGGGATAAGGGGCTATATATTAAATAATATACAACGATCACACGGTTAACCGATTATTTGTGTAACAAGTGCACTTCGTGCATTAAATTCAAAATTTATTATTTCTGCTGATGTAAAAAAGCTCGGACCTAGTACGAATGCATGCCCTATTCTCTCGTCCCGCTAGGTCCAGCTCATTTTCCTTTACCTGGGAGTTTTACCAAACGAGTAATCGTTACTGTTAGACATATACTTTGTATTGACTCATAAAGTTTGACTACCGCATCCTCTCGTGAATAAGCACCCCATCGATCATATGAAAATGATCGGCAACCATCACGTAAATAATAAACTTTAGGAGGGTATCTAACAGTAATCGCAGTAACGAAGATTTTTAATAGAAATTTTATAATCACGTGTTATTATGTAATAAACTGTTTATGAGGGGGAGGGTTATGTTGTTAATAGTAGTAATCAGGGGGTGCTTATTCACGAGAGGATACGATATATGAAAAGAATGACATACAGTGTCCTCATTAGCAGATGTTAATGGGAGTTCCGTTCTTCAATACCTTATTGACTGTTCACAATGTCGAGAGAATATTATCAGTAGTTGATGGAGGTGAGATGTTGATTAACTACAAACCGAAGGATAACGGTTGAGGGAGAAAAGGGTATAATGTGGTACTAGTTAGTCGTCATAAGTCACATGACTAAAAGGGGGAAATTTGGTAAAGCCAATTTTTGGAAGTCCTCTAAATATTGTGCACGAACATGGTAAGAAATGTTTTCCGCATTATCATTGCATTGTTCTCTGAGTTAACTGAAAGTGGCTACAAATCCTTTAGGATCGGTTTAATCTCAACAGTCAACTGGAACATTGTAAGTACTTGTGAGATCTCTATGTTATGTTTCTTATAGCTGCAAATATAAACTTTCTCTTTTCCTACAGTGCAATCAAAATATGTCGGAACAGGCCATGCAGATACGAATAAATTGTAATTCTCGCTTATGAATGGTTTATCTCTACTGTATGAAGAATATACGATCTGAACATATATCTCTTATTCATAGTGAATGGTTAGTGAACCAACATAGAGACAGTTACGCTTCTTACATTGGACACCACGCACTGATATCTTACTTTGCAGTTGCGCAGAATGAGTCTGTTGCAAGAGTCAAGTTTGAATTTGTTGAGGTAAGATAACAATAAGGGTATGAGAGAAGAGATGCTAGAGACTGCTGTCAAACATTAAGCTAAAATCGCATTGTCACGCCCATGAATGTACTAATTTACAGAAAATGCTCCAACCTTGTGGAGTTCCTGTTCCAAGAGATGAATAACAAGAAATGGCTTGAACTTGGTTTGGCCAGATGCTATAGAGTAGTCGCTGCTATTACTTTGCTAATTGCAAGTAAGTTTAGCATAATGAATGCATCAATTAAGAATTTTTTATACGATATTTTTAACCCACACTCGGTGATGCTCATATTTGATTTCTATGTAAACAGCCGAGTAATATTGTACTTCCTTTGTTCTCGTGAGCTCGATAGGGACAATGGACACAATAGAATTATTGTTGCATGACATGCTAATACATCAAGCTAGTCTTTGCAATTAACTAAAGTCTGTGATTAATTGATGGCTCGTACATCCAATTGGTATTTATGTTATTTCCGAATTACCCACTCTGCGCCCACGTATAGAGATTCTGAATATGGTGAAATTCGTGGGCGTCAACTTCAATATCCTAAGGAACGATGTACTCTTCTTGGGGTCTCGGGTCCTGAAGTCTTTGTTCGGACTATACTTATTGAGGACTTGTGTTTATGTCGAATTGTTTCTTAGACGATGATAACTGCTAACACGATGGCCGACTGTTTCCCAAACCGTGAATGATACTTCTATTTTAGTCTATCCCTTAATCTTTAGGCCTTTTTGTGAAGCATTTTTAAGGACTTGCTATTATGGTATCTCCACCTGAGCTGTTAATAAAAGATTTGCCATATCCGGAGAATTTAGATGAGCTAAAAAGGAAAGAGTATATGTATTTGAAAAATATTTTAATGAGATCTCAATAGACGCACGAGTTTTTGGAGAGTAATGAATCTTTAAAGACACGTGTTATTTCCAGACATCATTTTAAAGCCATTTTCACCATATTAATATCAATATTATTATTATTGTCACTTAATTATAAACCAAATTTTGCATTTAGAGAAACTGTCATGTGACTTAATGCACAGGTTCACGTTGTACTATTTACAAATATAGCTAGATTAACCAGTAACTTCGATTTTTATAATAAAGTCTCTAACATCAGCAGGAGTCTATCCGTATTTTGCTTCCTTTTTTGATGAGGAACAAGTTTGATTACCTAAATTAGCCATTTAGACCGAATTTGGAAGGGAGAAAAATCGCGAGAAAAGGACCAATCTTTCCTCTCACTAATGTGAAGATAACAAAGTCTTGTGATATTGCTATATGGTTTTTATCACGATGATATTGTAACAAACTTTAATTATGTGACCGACACTGGCCAATGATTAATGATAATCAAATCCAATCTCAGACCGCCTCTTTTACAATGCACCAAGCCATGTCTGTAGTTTTGGTAAACAACGTAGATGACTAAAGCATGTCATCTAATACTCGCAACATCAATACTAGCAAGGTCGCTCAATCCAAGTCCACTAAGAATGGCCGCCAAGCACAACCCAAGCGTTCATTGTCAGGAAATTGCCAAACGTGCGGTGGCTCGATGAATCAATACTGGTGTCAACCCTGCGAATCGAAAAAATTTATGGATAACTTTAAGAATTGGACCTCGGGCAGTGAAGCGGTTGATAACTTTATTCATGATATACAAACGAAAGCGAAAACACGCTTTGAAGTGTTGGATTGGATTCCCTACGATAGATTGAGTGATGTAAAACCGATGGCGAAAGGGGGATTTGGAAGTATATGTATTGCTGAATGGTTAGACGGACCTAGATGGACTGTGAATAAAGGGAAGCTGGTTAGAGATGGAAAGACTGATGTTGTAATAAAAGTTCTAGATACAATGCTGGAATGCGGCTCTCCTAAATTCTTTGAAGAAGTAAGTATTGCCGCAGTTCGTACAACATACGCGTTACGACCAATAATATCTAAATTTTTTCAGCTGAAAGCATGTCTTCAATGCAGTTTTAGCGGAGCCATACTTCGGTGTTATGGTATCACCCGCGTTCCATCTTCTGAGAAATTTGCAATGGTAATGGCATACTGCAACGATGGGGATTTACATCAAATTCTTCGCCGATCATCCGACACCGTCACATGGGCTTTCTGTCTAAGGACACTCTGGCAAATTGCATACGGCCTGGAGGAGATTCACAAGCATAATCTAGTGCATGGTGACTTTCATTCCGGTAATGTATTTGTCGTGGCCGAAGGAGCTATAATTGGCGATCTGGGATTATGCCGTCTAGTCGAGGATGAATCGTCGGAGGGGTTCTTTGGTGTATTGCCTTATGTTGCTCCCGAGAATTTGAGGGGAAGGCCGTACTCGTGTAAATCGGATGTCTACAGTTTTGGGATGATTATGTGGGAAATGACTACCCGTGAGCGACCGTTCCAAAAACGTGCACATGATGTTCGGCTTGCGTTGGACATATGTGGTGGGTTGCGTCCGGAAATCACTGCTGATACTCCAGACTGTTATAAAGAGTTAATGATGAGATGCTGGGATGAAGACCCAGACAGGCGGCCAACAGCTAGCGAAGTAACGTCTATTTTTTTTGGGTGGCACTTTGAGAAAAAGAATCTTCAAGAGTTTATTACTGCCGAAATATTAAGAAAACAAATGAAAGACCGGAATGTTGAGGCAGAATTTCATTCTCAGGCCGTTTATACGAGTCGATTACTTGAATTTCCCGAGGTGATGGCAGATAATGGTAGGTCATCAAAAGCAAAAAGTCTTTATAGAACGCAATTTTATGGTATTAACTACATTTTATTATCGGGGGAAAAGAAACCGGAGGCGAATCTGGTATGAATATTTATCATTTTTATTAACGCCATAATATATAAGCAACTAATACTAACTTTGTTTAATTAATCGATAGATTACAAAACGCGTCAACTAGAACTTACAATATAATGTGGATAAATGTTCGTTCCATCGGATATGACGAGTAATTTGTTCTGCATATATTAATAATACCTGGTGGTTTTTATTTTATTGTATAGTAATATAGGAGACAATTCACTATCTATTAAATCACAATTTATTTCAAACTACGCAAGAATGTACCAAGTTTTAACATAATACGTGTTAGAACAGGTGCTATAGTCTAACCTCGATATAATGAAGTCAACGGGTACGGGGATTTTTCTTCACTATATCAGAAATTCACTATATCGAAACTTTCCAATATAGTAATGTTCTTAATAATACTGTTTTTATATCAGAGGAATTCTTCACTATAATGCGATATTCATTGTATCGAGTCTTCATTATATCGAGGTTAGACTGTATCTACTAACATTATAGGTACAATAAAGAAAGGGACTAAATTATATGTTGTCATGTGGGAAGAGGTTGACTATGTTTGATGAAAAGATCTGTTAGACGATAAGATAAAATGGGTGTTAGAAGGTAAGTGTGGTTGAGCTGGTCTTGTTGAAGCGAATATTTATTAAATCACAAACTGTGTCCAAACCGTAATTATTAGCTCCCATTGTGATAGAAATCAGAGCATTTACACTATGTACTATATATCAAAGTAGAAAGAATTGCTTAAAAAATATCAGGACACGTATTTAAAGCTACAGACAAAAATCACGAACAGCCGATTTGTGACAGGAGATAAAGTTGATTATTGAATCAACTTCCGATTGAGCACGAAACGTTCGGATGACCAGTAAATTTAGTATTCCTGATGGGGGCGGAAAGATCCCAATGGCACGATTAGCTTGTTTTCCATGGAATGAAGATTACAGAATAAAAATAATACTTTTATACCAGTGTTCGTTTATCTACTGTTACATGAATTCAATAATAGCTAGTTTACGTGATTTGGTCTTTGAGATGTAATAGAAAAACTCTAACAGAAATTCTTAAACAAAGAAAAAAAAAACGAATCCGCGTTTTTCATTTTGGATTAGTATAAATGACTTTATACAGTAATTAGAAACCGCATAATAATCTATACTTAATTTGTGGAAACGTAACTGATCTATGTCGCTTTGCTTTCGGTGCATTAACCTCAGTCGAAAGTCGCACGATACTGTAGATTCGCTATCCATTTGTTTTCAATCCAGTTAACATAATCAATTCGAGTCCCTGGATTCTGGCGAGCATACAGACAAAATTCATACTTTTGCGCATCTGTCAAAGTGATCTTGGAGGCATGACAATTAATTTATTGATATTATGTTCAAATACAAGCAATTAGCAAGTTTAAAATCTATGACAATATGACGCCTATCCATTTAAATAGTCATTCGCTCGTAAAAACTACATTAACTTTATAGCATATGTGTTAAGTTCTGTTGATTTTTGAACTGGAATATGGCCTGATCAAATAGCCTGATAAAATTAGAGTGGTCTGATCAAATTAAAATCGCCCGATGGTTCGTTAATACATTAAAGTAATATATTTGAATCGAATGTTGCAAAATTCTACCAATTATAATTTTACCTGATGTATGACAATAACTATGTCTGCCTACTAAATTTATACTCAAAATCACGTGTGTGCATTTAGAGAATAATTCTCATATAGCCGGGATTGTCAAAATCCATTGCATTTAAGTACAGTGAACCCTCTCTAATATCCACCCCGTTAATATCCACCTCTCTCTATCAGCAACAGTGGTTACAGAACGGATTTCCCCATATATAAATCCCCCGCATATATCAATTTGGATATCATACCCCGTTGATATCCCTATCAACACATATCAGATTTTATTCCTAATTAAATGTACCTCGCTGATATCAACATCAATATAAATTAGTATTTTAAAATTTAAAGTACTAAAGTATAAACATACTCCACACGTCTAATTCTGATAGTTGTAATGAAGGCAGCGACATTGAAATCGAAAAAATTTCTCATTCTACGGCATTGGAACAATGCAGATTACTTCTGCAGTATGTAGAGCAACAAGACCCCGCCAAATTCGTAAGAGCAGACATGCCAAGATTGCAAAAGTCGGTTGCGACGCATTCAATCGAATACAGTATATACGAGGCAAGGCAACAAAAAAAGTTAACAGATTTTTTCATCAAAGAGAGAGAGAACCACAATTCATGTGAGGTAAACAAATTGGTTTAGTTTATATGGAAAAAGAAATAAAGAGATTTTTATTATAAATATAAATAAAGTTTAAGACTTTATTCGAGACATAAGTATCGTATATAATATCATTACATATAACGTCATTATTTAAACCCCTAACACCCTCTATAATATCCAACCCCGCATATATCACCGGTCCCGTGGGGTTGATATTAGAGAGGGTTCACTGTAAATATATCTATTGAAATGCTATACCTCAGATGATTATATTATAGTCAAGAAATCCCACCACACATTTATCCCACACTTTTAACGTCCTACAGTATATTCCTATATATAATATTTAACACAATGCTGACCGGATTAATGTTGGTTTTTACAATGAAGATTACTCCTTATATAGGAATTATACTGTGCGACGTTGAATGTGTGACCATAATCCTCAGATGTATCCATATCCTGGGTCCCAAAGTGGGGATATAAACTGTGTGTGGATACGCGTTGCAAAGTATTGGGTGACATACATGATTCGGTGCTTAGTGATGGTTCTAGTGCTTCGAATTCTGATGACTAGTCCTTATTTATTGTATTGGGTGGGGGAAGTGAGTAATAGTTACTAAGCCGCTTGAAAATCTATATGTTACGGCCAGAGCGGAAAGGCAAAGCAATAGCGCAAGCGCTGCTCATATCTTGGTAATCGACGATCAATCCTCCTTTCTATCCACCGTGAGAGATACAATGTACAGTATCCAATCCGCAGACGCTTGCTCTGCATAGGCTCGAACATTTTATTTTCTCGTATTATTTAATTAAAGCTAAGAACCAGCTTAGGATTTTCTACCGTATTTATAAATGTTTTTGGGTTTGTGCTATATTGTTTTCGGCTATATGACCTGCGGCATATTGTCTGCGGTTTTTGAGACTTGCATAACCCTATGATTTTAACTCGTAACTTCAACACTTATATCGATTAATTTCATTATTTGTATTTAAAGATGTAATGCATGGTTGTAACAAAGTCTGATGGAGGTGTGGGATTTACCTACGATCCGAGACCCAGGTAGATTAAATGCCACGATCCCAGGATTCGAAACAAACTTGGATATCGACTGGATACATACTAAGATTCATAGAAAACGGGGGGTTTAATAAAAAAGTTTTTTAAATAAATAAATTATCTTTATAAATATTTTAAATGTATTCGATTGTTTATTTTATTATTACAATAAAAAAAAATGAAATTAACAAGCCATTAGTGTTCATCCAAAAAATTTTATAAAATTGTCAGAAAAAATTAATCCTTTATATCAGTCTTGGAAGAATACAGTAATAATATAGATAATATACATATGTTAATGTTTCTATCTTCCCCTTCCCTACTACTACTGTTACTGCTCACACATTTCAAAATAACATATTATTGAAGATAAGTATAACAATATTATTTGAAAAATGTGTCTAAAGTTAGTTGTTGTTTTTTCTTCCTGAACTTTTAAGGATTATCATTCTTAGTTTTGTCATAAATCTGGCATCAATATCTTCTTCAAACTGCACTTCACAATATTGAAATGCATCTTCAAGTACCACCTTCCCTTGTTGTGCAGATATTGGAGGTGGGGCAGGTCCTCATCACTATCATTGTTATCAATTGTGTTGTATACTTTTTGTTATTGAGTTGTACAATTTTATCATCTGATAGGCCTTTTCAGATTTGTCAATGTTGATGTACATTTGTATTAATATCCATATGATCAATGAGTTTTTGTACTTCATTTAGTGGTTCTTCTCCAATTTCTAATGACTGTGCAAGCATCAGTTTTTGGCTGGTAGGAATACAGTTGATTTTCCCCTAATTTCAGAAATGTGTGTTTTACAAAATCAGATAAAGACACATAATCAGATAATAATAACACACTTATGTCATAGTTCTATTCCCCATGAGTTTGCACAAGTCTCACCAACAACTTGTAGCAAGACATTTCCAACACCACAACCTAAGTTGATAAACTTGTGCTTTTTCTTAAGATTAAGATTTGTTCTTATTATGATGTCATCAATAAATGGTGTGACTACTGTATAGGCAGCAGTCATTAGTTATATTATGTTCAAAATTTTGGTGATATAGATAAGGATTATAAGGAGATTTATTAATAGGTCAAACTAACTTCCATTTTACAAACCTTTTTTTTTGGAAAGTCTGGAAATAAGTCAACTTGAATAATTCATGCCAAATGAACTGTTCATCTGTTAGCCTCAATAAATCAGTTTTGGCTTAACTCAGCCAGAATTTTTCAGATGTCTATTAAAAAAATTGAATTTCTGCATGGTAGACAGATATTGCATATTTGCACAATGCTATTACTATTGCATACAGAAGATTTTCTGGATCATTATCATGTGCCTTTCTTCTGCCTTTGTATTTGCCATGACCATCAATAAGGCACATAGTAATAGGAATTTAGTTGCTGACTCCAGTATTTTCTCATGGCCAACTTTATGTTGCTTGCTCTAGGATAAAGCCTAGGAGGAATAGTTATAGTGCTTAAATAGTTTATTTCTGTTTTAGCAACTCTTTAGGGTCTTGTTGTTGTTGCAGAAATAAATGAACAATTTCTAAACCATTTGCAGCATTGTTGGCATTAATTATCAGTGGCTCAACACTATCATCATCATCCATGTCACCATCATCAATACATGGTTGTTTGTATATTAATATTTCAATAAGTTCTCCAATCAACATATTTATTGTCAGGCACTTCATAAGTTCTTCTTCTTCAGGATAATTTAAGAACTCATTAATCTAAATCAGCAGACTGTCAGGCAAGATCATTGACAGCTTGTGTAAGCTCTAACA